TGTGTGTGTGTGTGTGTGTGTGTGTGTGTGTGTGTGTGTCTCTGTTTGGCTCTGATGACTCTTTATTTATACAGACCGGAGTCAGATGACATCACACTCTCTGTGCACTAGTTTTCCCTGTGTGGCCTAAACCTGTGCATATACAGTATTTGTGTGCATGTAACCACTGTTAGTGATGAGGACACACTCACTGAACGCAGATTAAAGCTGTCAGCAAACCCAGTTACTTTAGTTTAGTGTTTCTTATTATGGATTCATTTTATAAGTCAAACATGGTGGTTTTTAAATCGTCCTTGTTAGCCTGCTGCCCTTATTCCACAGACAGGAGGGAAATAACCGTCCCCCGGGAGAAAGACAGATGCAAACAGCTGTGAACAGCTGTTTCAACGCGCCTCCCCCTCCTGCTGATGTTGAGTAATTATTGTGACTATGCTGAAAGTTTCATGTAAATAAACACAGCTTTGTTTGTGATGACAATTCAGTCGTGAAAAACTTTCAGTACAACTACATGCTGCTGTCAACTTTAACACAGTTCTATTTCCAGTGGTGTGGAACTGCTGTTTGACTTTCTTCATTTAACCACAGCATCAGGCTGCTGCTGACAGAGCAGTCTGGAATATGTTCTGTTCAATGATTCACTTAAATAATAATTGTTGTAAGTTACATGGTTGTGGAAGACAGGGGCCTTCTGATGACTCAGCACATTAGAGGCCTCATCACATGCTCACGTTGACAACCTCTGTTTCTCTTCTCTATTGTGGATATTGTTTATGTCAGCTCCTTCAGATGTATTTAACTTGGGCAACAAATTTAATTATGATTTAATTCCTATCATCAGTCACTGTCATCTTCTGTGGTTTTTGAAAAATGATAATTATGTCAGAACATTATAAACCATCTCCTCATGTGATAATGAATAGTTTTGTGTCAAGTGATGACAGATGATTGGCTCTTCTAAACAGGCTGTGAATCCTTTAATCTTACTGGTGAAACTTTACCGACTTCTTTCCTACAAGATGAAAACTTTTTAACAGTGTAACTTATATGAAATCTTATGATGGGGAATCATGTCTGATTAATAAGTGCTGATATGTTGGAAACTGTATTTGGACCATGTTTTATCTTTACCTTTGAGCTACCAGCACCAAAAGTTAATCATCTAGAGACTCTTCCATGTTATATTCTCACCAAGACTTTTGAAAATTCACACATGGGGTGAAAAACAAAACCCTACTTGCACAGCTATGACATACATTTTAGTCGTGAATCACGGATGACTTACCACTTTCTCATGTGTTAACTTATTCAATCATTAACAGTCTAGGTTGAGACGAACATTTCACTCTCTCCATGTTTACAGTTAATAAGTAAATCGAGGGCAGGTGAAATGAGGTAAAACACACCCTGCTGCAGTGCTGTCTGTTAAAACGACTTAACGTGCAACAACACCGGCAGTCAGGGTTTTAAATTATGACGACTGTTTATAATGTCCATGATTACATGACGTCACAGACCAACAGACACAAGCTCAGCGTTGCCAAGTAAAGCTGCTCAGGTTCTCGACACTAATCATTATTCTGGGAAACAGCCGGCCGTCATTTGTACGACTTTTAACTTTAAATGTGTTGTCTTGAAAATAGTTAAAGCTCCAACATCTTTTATACTTTAATATACTGGATATGTGTGTCGCCTTAACTCCTTTGTTACAAAAAGTGGAACTTTGAACTGAGCTTAGCTAAGACTGTATATAAAGATGAACGATATGAACGCTTCCCACAAGTGACCACCTGGGGGTTGGCTGCAGTGTTGGTCATAATAGATTATCTGGACCTCTCCACTGTGGCTCCATCCTCTGATCAGTATGTTAACTAAACTCTAAATGCAGAAGATGGCAGTGTTCATATCCATTTTATATCCAGCCAGGGGTGCATCTTTTATAGTCCTTACTTTGATATCATACTGTAAAAATATATAATATATTATACTAACCCTGACAAAGATGAAGTCACAGGCACTAGTTGTTTGTCAAAAATGTTATCAGTTTTATTCAAGTATTGAACATTAAGGCAGTGTCGTTGAATGTTAACACTATGTCTGAATTAATACACAGAAATGTTTGATGAGAGAACAAATTTATGAAATTACAAAATGTTAATTTTCAAAAGCTAGAAACAAGAATGTCCACATCTTGTTACAATGCCACTTGACCTGCTCGTCTTTTTGACCATCAAAGTAAAAACACATCCTTTTGATTTATTACAAACGTCAAAGTAAAACAGAAGATTAAAAGTGTTGAACAGAGACAGTGTCTGCTGATGCAATGAAGCTTTGTGAAGGCATCACCTGCTGCCATTTGTTGAATTGTTTGAATCAGCAAAAATATACATTTCATGAAGCACCAGTGTTGACTCACTCTCATCGAGCCTCTGAGACGAGCTCTCAGATGTATGTAAATCCTTTGTTTTTACGAGAACAGATCATAAATCTGTGGAGACCATGGGAACAGGGCCAGAGTACAAGTGTGTTGTAAAGAAACACAGTTTTAAGACAAAGCTCCGTCAGTGTCAGACTGCTACTGTCAGCTTTTACTACCGTGTTCACGGCGAGGGGGCAAAGAGGGTGACTGATATTGTGCACCCGGTGATCATACACTTCTCCAGTCGGTGCCAGTTTAATGTTACAGGCCCAGAAGTGACTCTCGATCTGAAGACAAGCTAACGTGTTTAAATTCTTCATTTTCACTGGAGGCGGACTTTAAGACTTAAAATAACCATTCGGAGTGCTACGGTAAACTTGTTGAAAGCTCGAATCAGAGCAGTTGGATGAAAAAAGCGAGATTTTATAAAAAAGAATTCCATACAAAGTCAGACTAAAAGAGAAGTTTAAATAAGACACTTTCCACTGCTGAACATTAGACCGTTAATTCAGAAAAAGGTCCATCCCTGCACCATCAGTCTGCATTACGCATCAGCTTCATTTGCACTATTGCTAAGGAGCCTTTGACTGTTTGCACTAAGAACGGCAGCGTGAACTGTATGAAACAGCGAGCTGCTCATGCCTTTGTCATTCTTTCCAAAGAACTGTCCCTTCCTCAGGGTATCAATGACTGAAGTGTTGCAGCTGGCAAGCAGCAAGCTCACCCCGATCTCTTTATATTCCTCAACTAGCCCTTTGAACGTACCCAGCCCTGCTGAGTCTATGAAAGGGATGGCAGAGCAGTCTAAAACTATCGTGTGGAACTCCAGTTCTCTTTGGACAAGTCCAATAACAACCTCTCCGTTGTTTTTTTCCCCGTTTGGGTTGGCCTGCTTCAAGAACATTTCTTTGGCCTTTTTTTCTGCCTTTCTCCTCCTGGTCACCTCCAGGAAAGGTTCGACTCCGACAGCTCTGTAGAGGGACTTGAGAAAGGAGTCCTTGTTGGCATAGTACAGAGGAGCTTGGAAGCGGAACACCTGAACCCCCGGTGGTGGCACTAGGTCCTTGTACTCATCCATATCCTCGTAAAGATCAGAGTCGTTGGCCCGGCCCATCAGGGAGACCTGTCATCAGACATCAGATTAGATTAGAAGAGTTTACTGATATTAGTTTTTCACTAAAGCAGTTTCAGACCTGAAATACAGGGGGGCTGTATGTGAGAGTGCAAATGTCTGAGTCAGTTTTCTACAGCCAGCATTAAGTTACTCACTTTTGGTTTCTGGGTCTTAAAGATGATACACATCATAGAAAAGACGACTCCAACCAGGAGGCCCAGCTCCACACTGATCAGAGTGGTGCCCGACATGGCAACCAGCCAAACAATCGCATCACCCCTGTTGGTGCGCCACTTAGCTGGGACATCCTTGAACTTTCTTAGTGCCCCCCGAAGGCTGACAATGATGATACAAGCAAGAACACATTTCTGGAGGGCGTAGAAAAAAGGTGCGAAGAAGAGGAGGACGAGAAGGACGACCAGGGCGCTGATCAGACTTGATACCTGATGAAGGTGCAGAGAAATGGGGGGAGATGAACATAGAAGGAAATGGAGGATAGAAAGATTTTATGATGAGCACCTTCCACAAAGTGGCCTATGAGACAACTTGTGATTTGTGAATATGGGCTATACAACAAAAATTTGATTGACCATTTTAACAACTTCATTCACCTGTGTCTGGCAGCCCGTTGAATCCTTCACCATGGTTTTTGCAAGTGCTGCACTGGTGGTGAAACAGTGGAAGAAGGAGGGGATGATGTTACAGAAGCTGATGGCCAGCATCTCCTGGTTGGGACGAACCGTGTAGCCATTTTTCTTAGCGAACATTTCAGACAGCGACACAGTGAAGGCAAAACTAGAAGATAAAAGCAAAATATTTCGTTTCAATATCAGGCTTTATCGCCAAAAATGTAATGCTAGATGTTATAGTGCAACTTGAGTTTTAATTGGTGGTACAGTACCTAATGACAGCCAGAGGTATGGCATCGAAGGCCACCCGTGACATCAGACTAAACTGGGGCACCTGGGGAGCGATGAACCCTGTGGGAATGTGACCGGAAACGCTGGAGCCATAATGGCTGTTGAGCTCTCCAAAATGGCTGGCCAGTGTAGCTCCTGCCACTACTATCAGCTCAGTCGGCAGAGGGATCTTTAAACGATGCTTGTAGCGCTCCTGGATCTCTTTTGCTCCCACTACAATTCAAAATGTGTAGTGTTATTGCATATTCAAGAAATGTACGAAGTTGTACACAAGGCCTTTTTACTACAAATACAACTTCCCATGTTGTTTTTGGGAAGTGTATAATATCATTCATGAAAGCAGAAAAAGTGACTGAGAATCTGATGGGAAATGTTTAAAATAGAGTCCTTTACCCAAAATGATGATACAGATGGCACTGGTGATGAGGTCACACAGGTTGGTCTTGTGAATGTTGCTGAAGATGTTGATCCAGGTGACGATGACTGTGCCGTAGCCTTGGTGTCGTGGAATCTTAAGACCCAACAGGTATTTAGCCTGAACGGTCAGAATCGTGAAGGAGGCTCCTGTGGCAAAACCGTCGAGCATGGGGGCCGAAAGGTAGACTGAGACGAAGCCTAGCCGAAACACGGCCATCATGAGCTGGTGAGGGGATGTAAAGACTAAGAATCTGTAGTGCTTAAAGTAGATACAGACTGCAAGAGATACCTTTAATTACCATTTGTTTACAGTAAAATCTGGATTCAACTTTACCTGGTAGACACCTGCCAGGAATGTAAGAGCAGCAGCAATACTGATGGCGTAACACTCCTTCCCGCACTGCAGACCCATTAGCTCCACAGTGTGCACTTCACCAGCTGTGAGGTTAAAGCTCGTTGAGCCATTGAACACAACAGAACCAGAAGCTTTGGAATCTTCACTGAGGTCAAAACCTGCCAGGAATACCTCCCTATCCACCACCTGCAGACAAACGGCAATAATCAACAAGAAATCTTAAAACGGATGCTGAATATTTCCTTCATCACGTTTTCACTCAGATCTGATCCATTACCTGTCCAACCATGAGGCTCATGAGGCTAAATATCCCCACAGAAACATGTCTGGACGTCCCCATGAGGAAGTAGATGATGTTGGCGTAAAATGAGGTGTATAAGCCATAGATGGGCTCCACTCCTGCCAGCAAGCAGTAGGCGATGGCCTGCGGTACCAAGATGATACCCACGATCAACCCGGACATGACATCGCCCCAGACGTACTCTCTGAGCTTGTATTTAGGCAGCCAGCGCACCACAGGGAAGAATCCGGTCAGGGTGGATCGGATCCTGGGCACAGAGCAGGTCATGCCCTTCTTCACTTTGGATTTGAGGAGTGAAACTGTTGAAGGTCGCTGCCGAACCCGCCGCTCCAGGAGAGTTGGCCGAGCCTGTGTGGTTTCTGTGACCTTGGCAACGTCCTCCATGGTCTTCAGGAGGAAGAGGAGGCAGCACGGTGTCAGGAGGTGGACAAAGTGGTCAGCTGTGCTCCTAGGAGGCAAAAACAAATACAGTTTGGTTACGTGTGGTAAGTAAGAGTTAAACAACTTTTGTGTTTTGAAAGGAGCCAATTGAAAAAGTATATTTTTATTATTATCTGTAGTAGTAGTAGTAGTAATAGTGGTATTTCAACATTTCAGTTCTGTTTGTTCAGTTTTTATTTTTAATAATATTGATGCAAATGTTTCCTCTATAAACTGAAAACATCTTGTTTTAGGTGTTTTCTTTTCTGCTAATTTCTGTTTTCCTGATGACGCCATGAAAATGATGAGTTGGTGTTTCAACCCCACAACAGACAGTACATCACAAAATGAAAGCATGTGAGCAACACCTCTGTGTCTCAGCTGCGTCCTACGTGACATAATCACGTTAAATGACATGTTATCGGCCTCGGCCATCACAACACCACTGTCGAGCTGATTTACACTTCCTGTAGCTGCCCTGAAAACTCGCCTAGACTGATGTGACAGAAGGATAAAGATAATTATGTTTACTTTAATCAGATCAGCTGTAAATTAGTCTCATCGTGCTTCTGTGTTTCTTATTCACTGCAGGAATAAAGATTCCTGACGTTTTATTTGTTCACTGATTATTCACTGTGCATAGAAACAAGCCCTTTGAACAAATTAAAACAGAGCCCAGTCTGTGTTCACACGAGTCTTATAAATCCCAACCGGACTTTTTAACTGATGGAAGCCACAGGTGACAAATAATGAGCCTGTGGAGCTTTGAGCCGTAAAACACAAAATCAAAGAACTTCTGCCAAAAAGTGAGCTAACACAAACCAAGTTAACACAAACAGATAATAATGGCGCGACTACACAAGGTTTTCTTTCAATAGAGAGAAAAGAGAAATTACACTCGATTAACGGACAAACACAACAGGAGTCATACTGAGGACCACTCGGAACCAAAGCCTTTCATTTATAGAAGCATCAGCCGTAAACAGCAGTGATTGATTAAAGATGCATCTGTGACCTGTTTCAAATCAATGTCCTGCTTTTAATCTGTGATATAAAAGCCTCCCGGCGTGACTAAGAAACGACCTGAAGGATCATTAAAGTGACGAGGGGCACTTTCATATGTAAATGTTTCTATCGAGTCATATCATGAGTTTAAAGGGGTGGAAACGCATCATGTGACAGAAAGATGATTAATCCTCAGCTGCTT